TCTGACTTCGGAGCCTAGGAATTCCCTTCCACTCTTTGATTGGCCAACTGACTTGGGTCAGGCCACCCTGCCCTAACCCAGCCCTGAGCTGCTACCTCCTGGTCCATCACTTCACTCTGGATACCTCGGTTTTCCAAGTGGGGGAAAGGCAAGAACATGCAGACCTTGACTCGGATTCTTCTCCCAGAAAATGGGCCAAGCCAGAGTCAGTAGAGGTCTTTTGTCGAAGAGAAAACTGCTCAGGGACTAATGCTGTACCTCAAATAGAGTCAGTCATCTTTTGTCGAAGAGAAAACTGCTCAGGGACTAATCCTGTACCTCAACTAGAGTGGAAATTTCGACATCTGGATGTTACCTGTGAATTGTTTTATCAGTCAATATATGAAATCCATCAACTTCAGCAGTAAGTCCACCAACTTACTTTATTCATTCTAAGGATCATTTCTTTTTTTTCTTTTCCAAGCAGTAGTGGCGTTTATCAGTGACTCTTTTAGCTGGATTACAAAACAACTTCAGGGTTTTTTACCTTACTTATTCAGATCAATATAGACCCAGAAAAAGCTGTTTCTCTAAAACAGTATCTTGTAAGGACTAGAACATTCGAATAATCCCCTCTCTCATTGTTTCCTTGAAGGCAGCGGAAAGACTCAACTGCTCCCTGTTTGTGCATCCCTGGGACATGCAGATGGATGGACGGATGGCCAAGTACTGGCTCCCTTGGCTAGTAGGTTTGTGTCCATTTGAGCTCTGGGAACAGAGAACCAGCTCTCTGATTTTCCCAATCATTGGTGGAAACTATAATGCCAAATAGAGAAAGCATGAATAATTAACAGGATTGTGAGTGACAACAGCTATTATTTATTGAGCTCTTATTCAGATAAGTGCTGTTTATATAACACCATTTACTTTTAATCCACTCAAAACTCCTGAGGTTGACATTATCATGATCCCCAATGGAGAAACTGCATCTCTGTGGTTAGATAAGTTGCCCAAGTCATAATTAATAACTAAAAATGGAATTTCAACATAGTTCTGTCTGACTCTAATGTCCAGTCTTCTGAATATCTCACTATTCAACCTCCCAAAGAGGCTCAAAAACAACTCTCCTATATAGTAGATTTCGTGGAGAAATTGATAATATCTGTTCTTATAAATGAGAACCCTGGAGTTATGAGGTCAACTTCCACTGACCAAAGACCTGAGGCCCAAATTGTAGATGACCCCGGTTTCCAACTTTCCTAATGTTTGCTTTCCCCCTTGCTTCTTTCTCCCTTCTGCCGTTGGCCTTCCACATCCTTCATTTGTGGTTCCACAGGAGGGCAAGGGAAAGAGGAGAAACCTCTGTGTGGCCTCTCTAACCTCATGTTATCATCCTGATACCAAAAAAGGGGTGGTGGGGGGAAAGGAGAAGAGAGTCAACATCCACAGATAATTCTGGAGACAGATGGGAAAAGGAG